TCCCTCATATTTATCATTCATTGGAAGTGTGATCTCACAACATTTAAATGTTGACATGATTTTACACACCGGAATATTCTTATGAAAACCCGTGGGACTCTTTACACGTGAAGTGTTTGCAGGGCTGATGTTTAAGGAAATGAATGAGCATCTGACTTTCTGTGTTCAGATATGTATATATATATGTATGTATACAAAAACCTGAATCCTATAGCCCCATTATCTCATTCTTTGGTTGCTAAACAGCAAATTGCAGTGCCACCTTTTTGTACATCGAGTCCTGCAGTAAAATACATAAATATCAAGTGACAGGACAGGATTTTTTATAATATATAAACCATGTTATCTGTATTTATATATACACATATACACTGTTGCTTTCTACTGTTCTTGAGAGGTGGAGCTTCTCTAAAAAGATTTTCTCTAAAAATAAAAAGATAATGTAAGTAAGGGTAAGCACATTCAGCCAGACATCCATCTAGTCCAGTATCCTGTGTCTGTCTGTGACAAGTAGGAGATGCTGAAGGAGGTATGTACGAATGGTGGAAATACAGCAGAATGGGGTTTTCTTGGAATACCCCAGGAATAAATTCCTGCAAAAGCTGGATTGGCTTCCTCAGATGGACATTGCACCCCGATCACTGTGTTTAACAGCCTGCAGCATACAAACTCCAATTTTGAGAGTTCTTGAATAGGTCTTTAGCTTTTTTTAAAAAGAAGGCTTATTTTTGTTAGAGTTGTTTCTTAAAGTAACAGTTATTTTACATGTGTATATCCCAAAGGAGAGGCCTTTAAAAGACAATTTAAATGCACAAACGAAAACAAAGCGTTAAGATCGTTAGCATTGCTGGATTGCTTGGGGGTCTTCTTGTTTTGTTTTTCTCTTTGCTCTGGAATTGAACAGATATGTTTAATATAATAAAATCTTACAATTTACTAAGCTGCATTGTGTCATAGGTCATTGTCTTAGAAGCTAAAGACAGAATTGGTGGCCGAGTGTGGGATGATAAGACCTTCAAAGGAGTCACTGTTGGAAGAGGTGCACAAATCGTCAATGGATGTGTCAACAACCCAATGGCACTAATGTGTGAGCAAGTGGGTTCCCTGCAGTGGTCATGTGTTATCACTAGTGAAAAATAGTTGTTTATGCTAAGTTTGGGTGGCTGGGTAAGGGTGGGAGTCCTTTTTCACCTTTTTGAGGTGATGAAAACACTGTTCTGCGTTGTAAGTAAACTCTGCGTTGCTGTTGTATCTGCAGCTGGGGACAGAGGAGGGCTATAGAGTGGTTTTGGACACATTACATAAAGAAAAGCAAGGTGGCTCAGCTTCAGAACCAGAGGAAACCACTTTTTTTTCTCCTTTCCTGGAGATAGTAATGTAAAAACTCCCTGGCAGACAGAGCTGAGAGAGGTTTTTCCTGTGGGAGGCTATTGCTATGCTGTCATACATACTTCTATGACAGACTTACCTTTGCTCAGCTTCTGTATTTCTAGTTCAGTTGTGCACAAGTGAGGATGACTGTATCACAACTACTGATGCAAACACGCTGCAGTTTGATTATTTATTTATTTATTTATTTTTATTTGTTGATTTGGTTTTTTTGGGGGGGCAAGAAGCTGAGTTTCTCCAAGTGGAACTTGAGTATATGGATTTTGTTGAGAGAGGCATGCAAATCCAGCCCATGCTGTTTTAACTGCTTAGTTAAAAGCTCTATAGCATAATGAAGAAATGATTATTATTATTTTTTTAATCATGTTTTAGTTAGGAGGTGAAGAGCAATGACTTCTGAATACCCATTGAATGCCAGTCCCTTTGTGGTCATTTGATGTCAACTTTCATTTAAAATACACCTGTATCTTGAGAAGAGGTCTGCAGTGGTGACCAACAGCCTAGAGAGATGTGAGGATGTGTGAAAAACCCTGGAGGGCACCCTAAGTACCAAAGCCCTAGGGAGAAGTTAGCACTATATTTGTGCTATTTTCCCTAGACTGACTCTGTAGAGCCTAAAAACATCTATTCTGACTTAATTCTGTTATGTGTTCAATACAAGTTGGACAAGCAGAGCAAGATAATAGGTTTAATTCCAAATAATTTCTTTCTTTGCTTGTTCGTTAATGAAATTGGAGGTAACTGGCAAGCAGTGTCCTGTCAGTTCCTGAATGCAGGGAACTGTGGGCATCAGGCACCAGAAAGTTGTAGAAAAGAACTGATTTTAATGGTGATTTATAGAATAAGGTGAGGTAGAAATGAAGGAGACCAGTTCATCGTGTTTGATTACCAGACCAAACATCTCTGTACTCGCCCCTGGCCTGACAGGGAAGTTGGAGATGAGGTTTCTGGGAATCCCCGATAAAGAAAAGGATGGAAGAGTGGGGAACAACAGTTTGTGGGCAATTAATGGATAGAAGGGTTGTTGGTATTCCAGTTTTAGGGGAGCAAGAGTTTGAGTTAATCTGACTAATTATTTTAAGTCATGGATGTTTTTTAAGTGACATCACTTAAATCTGAGGGATTCACCTTACTTTAAATAACTTTGAGCAGGTTAGGCGCTGTAGTTTTTCCATACTTAAAAAGCAATCAAATGTCTTTTTATTAAGCTTGGCATTAAAATGCACAAACTAGGGGAGAAATGTGACTTGATCCAGGAAGGTGGAAGGATAACAGATCCCACTATTGATAAACGTATGGACTTCCATTTCAATGCCATCCTAGATGTCGTCTCTGAGTGGAGAAAAGATAAAACCCAACATCAAGATGTTCCTCTTGGTGGTAAGTGGGATATGTATTTGCAAAGTGAAGATGTTGGCCATGTTCACAGAATTTTGTATTAAATTGGCTTTTCCATTGGACATTTTTAGAAGCATACGGCTGTACATCTGACCTGAAATCCAACAGCGATAACCTGGCTCTGTGGAGGACAAAAGGAGATTGACTAGAATATACACACAGACCAAAATGGCACTTGTAACTTTTAAGAAAGCCTAATTTGAAGGCTTTTATAATATTGTATGACTTGTGATGTAGTACCTTCTTTTCATGAGGTAGCTTTTGCAGCGTAACTAGTGGCACCAGCAGTTCCAAAGACTTGCTTCTCGCTGAAGCAGGCCATAGCCAGCCATAACCTATGCTTTTTGACTAATCTGTCTAAAAAAAGAGCCTGATCAAAGCCTTCTGCTGGCAAGAATAGTCCCATCTCCATTGGTAACGCCTCCCACCACACTTACAGCAGGCCAGCACATTCAACAGCAGAAAATTAAACTTGCTCAGAAATGTCTGCCTCCCAATCTTTTCAACGTGGGTTCTGTAAGACAGAATTAGCAACTCCTGTGTTCTTCAGTGAACTCTGCATCAAATTTCTCAGCTCTTTTTGGTTTTGTAAAAATTCAGCAGGAAAAATATTTGCAGGGATTCTCCATTATCTTAAAGTGTATTTTCCTTGCAATACCTTCAGCTGTATGTCGATGATAGCTAAACAATTGATTTCTCTCCTGTCTCAGATGGCACAGCCGTGCTGTTGCACAACATGGGGTTTTTTTTATTTTCCTTTTTTCTTTGAAATAATTTTAACCTCTTTTTTTTTCCCTGAAGCTATGTATGTTTCCATTTTGAAGAAGAAGATTTTACTAGGGAAACCTATGATTAAACAACAAACTTGTATTTTATCACCAGAAAGATCTTGCATTTTTTTCTATGAGAAGAAAAAACATCTTAGTGCAAATTAGCAATAAGCTTGGAAATCTTGTGATGCAAAGAACAGCATATTGAAATGCAGTAGGACTTCTGATGAACTGTGATATATTCTTATTTTAAACATGTTATTTCACAGAAAAAATACAAGAGATCTATAAAGCTTTTATTCAGGAGTCTGGTATCCAGTTCAGTGAGCTGGAAGAAAAAGTACTGCAGTTCCATCTCAGTAATTTGGAGTACGCCTGTGGCAGCAATCTCTCTCAGGTGAGTTTTGACAGCTGTGTTCTGAAGTAGTTGAGATTCATAGAAAATAGGGTTGGAAGTAACATTGAGAAGTCATCTGCTCCATCCCATGGCCCCAAAGGAAAAGTCAGCTATCCCTAAATTGTTCCTACATCCCTAACCTGCTTTTTGAAAGCGTTGAGACACAGACTCCAGCGCTGCCTTAGGTAATCTGATGGGAGTTCATGACATGCTTCCAGCGAGATCCTCTTTAACGCAGGAGTTGAGAGTAGCTGGTGCAGTGGAGTAGGGCGTTTTGCTGAGATGCTGGGTTGCAGGATTCACAGGAGAGTTACTCTTCCTCAGATGTTGTGTGTGACTTCTGCTTCTCAGTTCTGTGTTTAAAAAACTGAGGTATTTCTTTACCTTACTAGGTATCTTGGGAATAAATACATTTAACTTCTGAAGTGTTCCAGTTCACCACTCCTAGGTATTCTCTTGACTCTGTGATACTTGGTTTTCCTCGTGACTTCAATTTTAACCAAGCAGGTTCAGGAAATATCAAAGTATGATGTTTGCAGTGCATCATGTACTCAGTCCTGTTGGCTAGGTGGTCAGAGTCAACTTGTACTACAGTGGTGGGACAGCTGATGGGTATGTGCAGATGCACAAATCTGATCTGAACTGAGAAGCCCATAAGAACATAACAAAAATCTGCAAGACAGTGCTATACCTGGGCAGTCAGTGGGGAATATTTGGATGTGTTAAGCTTTCACACTTCACGAGCACCCACGGGAAAGAAGAAAGATGTTAAATTCTATCATCTTAGAATCATAGAATCATAGAATGGTTTGGGTTGGAAGGGACCTTAAAGCTCATCCAGTTCCAACCCCCCTGCCAGCAGCAGGGACACCTTCCACTAGACCAGGTTGCTCAAAGCCTTATCCCAAGTAGGTCCATGTAGGTCCATCTTACATTCAATTTTAAAATCAAAATATGAAGTAAATGCAACTGCAGTGACAGGAATTGGCATTTGAATAACAGTTTGAGAATTGCTTCAGATTATTCAGCGCTCGGTGGTGATTGCTTAGTGCGAATATCACTATGGTACTACTATGTGTTTGCAGGGGTGGGGTGAGAAGGTCAGTGAAAGATATCATGGAAGAACCTCCAAAGTGACAGAAAAATTCCATTGAGATTTTTATGGATCTTATTTTCCCCTCCATACTGGGAAATAAAATATTTTCATTTTTATTTGAAGTCTTAAGGCTGTAAAACCCGATTTCTTTGCTAGAGACAGAAAACTGAAATAAATACATTGCAATCCACCTGAATTTTTGTACTACTTTACTTGTTTTCTCTACCAACAGAACTATAAATTACTTGCTAGTGACCAACCCATATGATGACATATTTTATAGTGGCCTTAGGCAAATAAGCCATTTGCTTTTGCCATCGTTGCCATCGATTCTGATGATAACACATTTTTTTTTTCCCAGTTGTGAAGGGAATTAGGGTGGCTTCTTCTAAACTGTGGGACTTTTGCTAGTACCCATGTCACTTCACCAGTAGAGTCAGCTAGTTATGTTCTGTCCTCAGGTATCTGCACGCTCGTGGGACCACAATGAATTTTTTGCCCAGTTTGCTGGAGATCACACTCTACTAACTGTGGGATATTCTACTGTGATTGATAAATTGGCAGAAGGCCTGGACATCCGGCTGAATTTCCCAGTGAGTCTGGAGAATGTTGATGCAGTGCCTCTCTTGGATTACTTTGAAACACCCAAACATCTCTTGGTATTCTTTTGGACCAGGCAGATCTGTGCCTGTGATTATTTCAACTTGTCTTTAAGAAAAGAGAGGACAATTTCAGCATTTCTGGAAATCTGTCAGTGCTTAAATATTATGATATGATGAGCTTATATATATTAGAATCAGGATGATTTTTCTCTTTCAGCTTCCAGGAAGACTATTGTTTTTCTTTCAGTATTTCTCTGGAAATGTGTGTTGCTCAATTTCTAGTTTGTAGCCTGGTGCTATATGAGCTGTTCTTGTCTGAATTTGCATTGTGTATGTAGATTTTGTAGTCCCATCTGCTTCAATTTGTCTTTCAATAGGTACAGAGCATTGACTATTCTGGTGAAGAAGTACAGGTCACTACTGCAGACGGAACAGTGTGGACAACACAAAAGGTACCCAGTATGCTTAAAGATTAAGGAATCTAGACAATACAAGAACAATACTTAACCACAGTACGTGTCCTTTTTGTCTTTTTTCCCCCCTCAAAAGACTATTTAGTCCAATTTTTCCCATTCAAAGATGAAAACTCCTGTACTCTAGTGACCTGCATTTGGATGTCCTAGAGCCTATTTTGCATTCAGCATGCTTGAGTTTTCAGTACTAGTTGATTTGAAGAACTAAGCACTGTAAAGATGGTACTAAAAATGTGAAGCAAATAGATTTTTATCTGGTCTTTGAAATAACAGTTTTGTTTTCTGGTTCCATTCCCTGCTCAGCTTTACCCCATCTAGCATGTGAATCTGTGAATTCTCTCTTTGGTATGCAGGTCTTGACAACCCGTATTTCTCAGTCTCCCTATTCCCTATATTCCTACCTGCTTCATGCTGTGTAATTTGGCTTTTAGTAATTTTTAAAATTACATATAAACTTGGATCAAGATTGGATTGACATCAACAGTGTTACTGAGCATATTTTAAAGAGAAGGGATCCGTGAAGGAAGAAAAAGCAAACCAAAACAATGACCATCTTTCCTTTCAAAAAGAGTTTTGTTAATCTGAGAGCTATTGACTGTAATTTACAGGAGATATTAAAATTAGTAGCATTTCAAGCAATTCAACAACTTAAAAGCAGAGTACTGCAGGATCGGCTCTCACCTGAATGTAAGGCATGTGTTTCCCATCCATGAGTAAAACCAGACACTAATCTAGAGATGTCTGGTGACATTTTATGCTGCATCCCACAAGAATAATCCAAGATAGTTAAGAAGATGCTGTGAGGTTTAAGTGCAGTATTCAGCTTTTGCTACTATTGTGATTGTAATTATTTCTTTCAGGTATTAGTGACTGTACCACTGTCTCTTCTTCAGAAAAATGCCATTCAGTTTAATCCCCCACTGTCAGAAAAAAAAATTAAAGCCATTAATAGTTTGGGAGCAGGAGTCATTGAGAAGGTAAGTAATTCCAGATTATATTTCATTTGCTTTTCATAGAAACATTGGCTGCTTTGTCCCTGTTGCTTTTGCTCTGTATTTCTCAGGATTTATTATGCATTTGGTTTTACTGGTATACAGTAACCCAGAAGAGCAAAATGCTATCTAGGATCACATGAAATTCTGTTTCTTAGATTTCCCAGCTTAAATGAGGTTTTTAAAGAATTGTTCGCAGAATCACTTCACAGCTTAAATGTTTTGTGCCTGATTTTGAACAAGCCTTCATGATGGTCTTACATCTTCCAAAATTCTAGTAAGATGCTTATTCCAGGTCTTTTTGACCTAATAAATACATAAACTATTTCACAAGAATACTGGAAGTTGTGTATTTGACCAGTGTAAAAT